AAATAATAGTTTATTGGGAGACACTACTAGTACATCCCAACCCAAACTGAGTGACTGTATTTAAGTTCTTACATAGTACAAACATTATCAGTACAAAATTTTTAAAGATAAGGATACATTTGATGAACAGTTATAACAATAAATTCCAAACCTCAATGCAAGCTTGACTGAGAGCCCAAAAGTCCATTAAAGTATTAAATTACCTGAGCACAATGAAAACTGTGTTTGATTGTCAGCTCTGGTTCTCTGATCTGTTCTGTCAATTGCACAATATTTGTTTATACAAGATTAGGAGGTTTTAAGTGCTTACAATTCCTGCTATTGATATTTAAAGAGTCAGGATAATTGGCACTTTTATTGGAATGTTATACAACAAACTTTGACAGGATCAGAAATAGAGTGTGGAGTAGATACCAAATATAACATGCAATGATTTTCAGGGGAAGAAATGAAAAAATGACTTCAAGTTTTCTGCATTTTCCAACTTTCTTAGAAAAACTCCTTTTACAACATGTGATCCTATTATCACTGTAGAATTAATTGCTTACATTCAATATATCTTTGGTGAATGGTCATAGAAGTGCCATAATTTGTCAGAGGATGTGAGGGACCACCGGGATGGATAGAGTCCCAAGGAGAACATTTGAATGTATCTTTCAAAATGTCCCCTCTTACAGACTATGGTTTACACCTCTGAGCCTTTGTGAACCGTGAGTTATTTGAAACCTGGTCTAACTCTATATAAATTGCATAAAACTAGGACATGCCTATCCTCATTATGGCGCCAACCAGGTCAGGAATACCAGGTGAAAACTGACAATATAAGCCAGCCCATACATTTTAAAGGCACTCCTACAGATTGGAAACGTTGGGAATAGGGTCAAGAGTTGGGACCCATTCTCCATGTTTTAAAGGTTCCTAAGTTGTCCCAACTCAGTGAAGATTCAAGCCAGATAAATAGTGCTAAAATGATAGTGGTAATTAATTATTAGAATTATAAGTTAATGGTTAAAAGCAACTTCTGTAACTTTCGTAAGACTATTAAAAGTATAATTGGAAGGTATTAAGAGTCAGAAGGGTTATTGATACAGGATAAAAAAGAACATTTTCAAGGAACAGACAAGATGAACAGGCAATAAAAGAGTCTGCAAAAATAACACAGGACAGCCATAGGTTTGGCAACTTCAGACTAATAGAATTAAGGCAATCAAGATCAGTGATTGCTGCATAAATTGCAAAATACTATAATTTATATTTTAAAGGAAGGAACACATCAATGCTATTCTGGATATTAGAGGAAAGATGACCAGAAAAGAGAGACGGAGCATCCTCAAACAAGCAAATGACATGATGAAACTCAACAATGACATTTCATCATGCAATCAATTATTTCAAGGGATAAATGTCTCTAAATTCCAATGGAGGAAGAATCATTTTTGCATGTTTTGTTGCATAGCATAATTAGTAGAATCAGTGTGAATAATAAGTATTAAATGACAACTAAATTTAAATAACAATTTTGAATGAACTACATGCTCACTTGCCAGTTGGATCGACTCTTGTATTGTTAACTAAGTGATGATATTTACACCTGAAAAGCACATAGTTCAGCTTGTACTTTAGACACTAAGTCATCACCATTCTATCTTTTCGAATGTCAATGATGATTGACGTCAAGTTTCTGTAAGCATTTTTGATTCCTGAACTAACTATCACAGGTTGTGACTCTTTGGATATTAAGTTTTCATGTCTTGAGGGAATAAAATGTATTTTAATGAAAGCATACTTGCTGCAAGAAGACTTATCCTCCTCAAAAATAGCTTGAATCAAGAGACAGCAACAACACATCTTTACCAGAAAGCACAACGACTAGGGAAGGAAGCTTTACAATATTGTGACTTCACAGGCAATGACTGGATCCAATAACTGGTGAATTGTTACAATGTGACATATTTCTCAGAGTTCTGAAGCCTTCACATAAATTTTAACTGCAATTCATTGATTCACATTTAGTAAATTGTAACATTTCCTGTGAATTGGTGACTGTAAGAATGTGTAGAACTATTAGTCTTCAGTTAAACATTTATTTCATACTAAATATGAATATTTGTTTTTATCTACACATTTTCCATTTGGAACAAAGGAACAGGACACCATTTAACCACTCAAGCTTGTTCTGCCATTAAATCAGATCAATTTAAATTAAATGGCTGATCTGTGACTTAATTTTATATATTGCCTTTGCTATTTATCCCTTAATACCACTGGCTAAAAGTCTTTCAATACCAATTTTAAAATTAACAATTGGTCTAGCATCAATTGCCATTTTCCAAAGGGATTTCCAAATTTCTACCTTATTTCTATACAGATTGACGATCGACAAGGTAGCCAACGGTTATGGTGGTTGGGTGGGCAAACAGGAAAGAGTTGAGATCACAATCAGATCAATGATTCTTTTATTCAAAAGGCCAAACAGGCTTGAAGGACTGCACCTCCTCCACAATAATAGTCAACACTGGAGCCCCCCAAGGTTGGGTCCTCAGCCCGCTACTGTGCTCCCTGTGCACCCACAACCGTGTTGCCTAATTCCAAACAAACGCCATCTACAAGTTCGTTGACAACACCACCACGGTAGGACTGACATCTAACAATGACAAGTTAAAATACAAAAGGGAGATAGTGGGGCTTGGTGACGTGGTGCAATGAGAACATCAGCAAAACTAAAGAACTGATCATTGACTTCAGAAAGAAAGGAGGAGAACTCACCCCCACCTACATCGACGGAGCTGAGGTTGAGAGGGTGGAGAACGTCAAATTCCTCAGAGTGATGACAACCTACATCCCACGTAGATGCGACAGTCAAGAAGGCACAGCAATGCCTCTTCTTCCTCAGGAGGCTCAGGAAATTTGACATGTCCATAAGGACCCTCATCAACTTCTACAGAAGCACCATTGAAAGCATACTGTCCAGGTGCATAACGGCCTGCGATGGCAACTGCTCTACCCAGGACCATAAGAAACTATAGAAGGTGGTGTGCACAGCCCAGACCATCACGGAAGCCAACATTCCATCCATGGACTCCATTTACATGGCTCGCTGCCGCAGAAAGGCTACCAACATCATTAAAGACCCATCACACTCAGGTAATGATCTCCTACAACCTCTTCTGTCAGGCAATAAATACAGAAGCCTGTACATATGCTGGTTCAGGAGGATTCTTCCCAACTGATGAATGGATTCTCTAGCCTCAAATAATGCTGGTCTTGCTAACGTTGATTTTGCCTAGTGCACGCATTGTGCAATGTAACCTGTATGCCTTCGTCTAAGTCTCTTTGATCTGGACATCCTTGCTTACTATGATCTGCCTGTTCTGTTCATAAACAAAGCTTTTCACTGTACTTCGATACACATGACAATAAATCAGTCAATCAATCAAGGACCAAATGGCCTACTCCTACTCCAAAATTCTATGTTTCTATACATTACGGAATGGGCAAATAGACAGTATAGTCAATAGGAGGGACTGGTAGGTGGCATAATAAACAATATAGGTCTTCTATAACCACAAAATATTTATTAACAGTTTGAGATGTGGACATGTAATGATATGATTGGATAACATTATCATTTTTAAAAATTCATTCATGGGATGTGGGTACCAGTGGCTGGCCAGCATTTATTGCCCATCCTTAATTGTTAAGGGTCAACCATGTTGCTATGGTCTGGAGTCACATGTAGGCCAGATGAGGTAAGGGTGGCAGATTTCCTTCCCTAAGGATACTAGTAAACCAGATGGGCTTTTCTCCAACAATGGGCAAAGATTTCATAGTCACCACTAGACTGTTAATTCCAGATATTTCTTATTGAATTCATTTTCTACTATCTGCCATGGTTGGATTTGATCCCAGATCTCCAGAACACTACCTGCATGTGTGGATTAAGAGTACAGTACCAATACCACCATGCCATCACTGCCCCTGTGTAGTAGTTTGAATATGATTAGGTAATGTTGTCATGTCTATTAGTTTTAATGTGATCGGATAATATAGTCATATACAGTCCCTTCTGACGTAATGTGATAGTTCCCTTCTCACATTATAAAAAAAATTTGCAATATCTGCACCATTGAAACTAATGGGGCTGAATCGTGTTATAGCCAATACATGTAAGGAAAGTTTGCATTCTACAAATAGTGATCTAAATTCTTCAATCGTTTTAAAGCCAATTTGCATTGAGGAAGCATGCGTTATATCGGAACCAACTGTATAATAACTTGAAATGTGAACTATGCAAATATGATTGGGTGGAGATAGTGTGAGTAAATTTGTATCCTTTTGGAAATTATTATATGTAGGGATATTTGATTGGAAACTTGTTATGTAGAGATAATGTATAAAATCTTTGTTTAATAAAATTTTCTGTCAATAAAGATATGAGCTATTGTCTATTTCTGGATATTTACATCTCCCATGCAAATATGAATGAACGTTTAAACAAAGAAACTTGAGTTGTGACTGGTCTAAGAGGAAATAAAGGGTTAAACTCATGCTTTCAATTACCCCTTTTTTATATAGGTGTTTCCTAATTTTAGTTATCAAAGGTCTGACTTTAATTTGTAAACTATGCTCCCTAGTCATGATCTCTCAAGTAACATAAATATTTTCTCCCAATCCATTTGACCTATTCGCCAGTGAGGCATCAATGGCAGTGAGAGCGGGGCCAGTGGGGCAGCGATTTTGGTGAAAGTAGTGTATCTTTGTTTACCCTGTCTTTTCCTGTCAATATCTTGAAGACTTTGATCCATTCACCTCTTAACCTTCTAAATTCTAAAGAAACCTCTCCTCATAACTTAACTCCTGAAGTCCAGGATCATTCTTGAAATGAGGTCTAACCAGAGTATAACTGCAGTATGACATCTGCATCCTTGTACTCCAGTCCTCTAGACATAAAGGCCAGCATTCCATTAGCTTTCTTGATTATTTTCTGCAACTGTTTGTGCCAGGGTGGTATGGTGGTACAGTGGTTAGCTCTACTGCCTCATAGCACCATGGACCCAGGTTTGATTCCAGCATTAGGCGACTGTGTGGAATTTACATGTCTCCCTGTATCTGCATGGGTTTCCTCTGAGTGCTCCGGTTTCCTCCTACAGTCCAAAAATGTGCAGGCTAGGTAGATTGGCCATGTTAAATTGCCTGTAGTGGCCAGGGATGTGCAGGCTAGGTGGATTAGCCATGGTAAATGCAGGGTGTTAGGATAGGGAAGTAGGTCTGGGTGGGTACTCTTTGGAGGGTTGGTGTGGACTCAATGGGCTGAATGGCCTGCTTCCACACTGTAGGGATTTTATGATTTTTTAAGATCAATGCACCTGATCCCTCAAGTCTCTTTGGATAGCCACTATATTTAACTTCATACCATCTAGAAAGTATCCCAAACTATTCCTTTTTGGCCCAAAATGGATAACCTCATAATTGATTTCATTGAACTCCATTTGCCACAGTTTTGTCCATTTACTTTGTCTATCAATATCCTCTTGTAATTTTATGCTATCATCTGCACTGTTTCTTTGATAGGTTGTAAATATATTTTAGATGTAGAACCTGAGTATAAAGTTTCATTCTATGCATGCTGAAAACTATCAGGCATTGATTAATGAATACTGACTAGTTGCTGTAATCGGAAAACTGTCCATGATTATCTGATCTACTA